CACCTGTACGAGGATCATGTTGAGTTTTGAAATGTACACTCCCTCTTTCTGCAAATAAACAGAAAAACAGCAGCGTCAGTGTCGAGTGGCACGAAGATCCTTCACATCACATGAGTAATTACAGAGCAGCATCTTAAACTCACCTCCATGTTTGTAGGATCGGAGGAAGTCTTGATAATCAAACCGACAACATACTTCTTGATTCCTGAAAACATATCCGTGTGTTTTTATGAGATAATGCAAAATAACATTTCACTGACGAGCAACACGCCTCAGACAGAGCTACGTGATAACAACCTGTTTGTTAAATGTCATTCGGCTGATTTTACCTTCACACTGATTTCTTGGGAGAATCTTCCAGCGTGTTTTGATGACTGACTCCAGAATCTGCAGTGCATAATACTGAGGGAAAAACAGAGACGTGTTAGAGCTCTGGAAAAGTATCAAACATACTTTCTCATCAAAAGATAATTAGCGACAAACAGACACCAAACACAATATAGTATTTTGTACCGTCATATACAGCCACATGCAGCCCAAAATACACGACCCATGACCTGTAGGCATGGACCATACAAGCCAAAAAATACATGTGAACACATCCATGTATGCAGACTCTCAGTGTAATATAAATAGAGCTGTGTGCCCAGTAGATGTAATATTACAACATAGTACAGATTAACACAGACCCTGAGCACTTTCCTCTCGGAAATCCTCCGGTGCACATAAAGTTTAGCATTTAACACTTTAACACTACTGGCAGCAGCAGCTGTTGTCTGTACTAAATGGGAAGAGATGTGCACAGTTAGCATCAGCATTGAAATCATAACTGAACAAATAACAGAAAATCATGCAGAAAAAAAAAAATGGAAAAAATAAAAATATTGCAGATGAACTGTGATTTAAACACACCTAGCTTCCATTAGCTGGGAAAAAAATGCACAAAGTACAGAGGAGCTAAAGTGGAGTGAATGCTCAAACCCTGCTTCCCTGAAAGCCTCATTCTGATGTGGATAAACTGATAAGCATCAGCTCATATTAGTACATTAACTCTGAGAGACTGTCAACAAGAAGCTGATGCGAGTTCATAGCTTTCCTCTGTTACGGTATTTGTGTGTGTCGGGTTCATACTTTAGTTTTCATGTTCTGAGAGAACTCCAGGATGGTGTCGACCCGGGTCCAGGCATCTGGATGGTCCTTCAAGTTGGTCAGCACTTCCTGGGCCACCCGTTGCTACAAAAGAGCAATACAGAAAAACCTTTTATATTACCCGAATCTTCAGGTTTTAAAAGACGAACTTCAGGTAGGGTTACACATCATATTTGACCTGATATCCCCTAGTAGCTGCATGGTTATGCTTAGGAACTAATTCTTAATTTGTCACAATTAAAATATAGATGTATCCATGAGATACTTTTTTTTATAATCCAATTATCATAGCCTTGCACTGAATACACGTGAATCCTATCCAGACACTTGAAGTGGAAGCCCACAGCGGAGGAGCAGTCTCACCTGGGAACCGATGTCATGGTACATGGAGTTGACAACATTGTCCAACAGGTTGATGTCCAGTTTCTGACTGAAGTCCAGCAGCTGTCTGGCTGGGTGATCCGCCAACATCGTCATTTCTGCTGGCATAGAGCTTCTGAGGAGAGGAGAGGGGAGGGCAGGGGGACTATTTAAACTTCAACCACAACAGAACCTGGTAACAGTGGCAAAAGTACAACAGAACATAGGAAAAAAAATGCACATTTCTGCAGATGGAGATTACAGCAAGAACCTTAAGAATTAAAGCTTTGCGTAAGAGTATGAATTACTAATATTTTATGTACCACATTACAAAAATTACAACATTTAATGGATGCATCAATATTTGAGGAGGTGAGCCAAAATAGATGAGTGGATAACAAGCAGGGTTAGCTTTCTTTTCACGCTTTGTACCAGATAGTCAGCAACAAGTTATTCTTGTTCAGCTAAAATATGTCAAAGCAGCCAGCCTGAAGCTGCAGTCGGCCCTCGTGGTCCAATTTGTGACACCCATTGAAACGAACTGAACTGGTAAAACATGAAACGACGCCCCCACCTGGGTGCGTACAGCTGCGTTCACAGCAACCCAAGTGATAGACCACTTTAGCTACTATTGAGTGCAATTAAAACACGTTCGTGATAGTGGAAAACAAAACCGTGGATATACCAGTCCCCCGGCTACAATGCGTTATACCACATTTGGTTTGTCTAACCGCTGGTTAGCCCCCAGATAAACACACCACAGCACTTTTGAAACTGACGGATGCTAAAGTTAGCCCACGCTGGGTAAGTTAGCTTGGTTAATGTTGATCGGGCTTAACTTACCTGGTGTGTCCTGTCCCCTCGTCGAAAGCGAGTATTGGTTAACTGGTGAAACTTGCGGTTGAAGACCGAAATATTAACTCTCTCAATGCGCTGAAAACTGCGCAACTTTATCTCATGGCACACGTTTACGCTGCTCCTAATCTTCGATAGCCGAAAGCTAATGTTAGCTTTCCTGAATGACACCAACAGTTAACGTAAGCGCTAATTTAAAAAATGTCGTTACGTTGGATACTTATCGATTCTTGGCGTTGTATTAAAAGCTTTCCGCAGTTTACCACAGCCTACTGTTTCTTGTCTTCAGCCACTCAGAAACACATCTTTCTTTAGCTATCAGTGACTACAGCCGACTCCCACCAGGCTAATAGCAACCTAGCGTGCTAATGGAAAAGTCAATGATGATTCAGGTCTGCCGGCTAATGTAACGTTAAGCTAAGCTAACAACACAGATTCACGGAGTCACACTTAGAGCGGTATTCCGGGTCATAATCACGAAGTGAAAGAGTCTCGTTTTTATTTCTGGTTCTATTCGCACACACTGTTGGAGAGCAGAGATGTTTTAATGCGTGCAAGTATGCTCTTCCTCTAAGCTCATGCTTCCAACCACGGACCGGTTGAAACCGGTTGAGACCGGGATATTCATTCTCGGTGTTTCGGCCCGTCGCGCGCCGCGTAAAATTTGGACTATGTACCCGCCCATTACGCATCTGATTGGTTGTACCACTGCTGTCGTCACGCCCTGTCATAGGCTGGCTGGCTGTCAATCTGGCTCAAGCTCCCTCCCCCTGTTTTGGCTCCAGTTTGACCTCTGGTAACAGGAACACACAGGCCCTAAACAGCAATAAATAACATGAATTCCCAATGAAATAAAGGAGTTGTTATTGTTTTTTAATAAGTGGCTTTATTGTAGATGATCCAGTGTGACACAAACAAAATCATGATGACTAAAAAAATATATATATATATTATATTATTTATTAATATTACTCAATTTCTATGAGGTCATACACAGTAGTGAGCAAATGTTTTAGGCACTTTAGATGTTTAGATTCTTATTCATTACACAACACCATCAAGGAGGCGTCTTATCCCCCCTGAATTCACAACAACAGGACAACATAACAAACTTACCGCCAGACTCATATCTTCAGCGACAAAAAGAACAAAGGGTCCTGCAACAGATGGTCTGGCCCCCCCAAAGCCCCGATCTCAACATCATGGAGTCCGTCTGGGATCACATGAAGAGACAGAAGACACTGAGACAGGGCAGCAAATACTGATCTGATTTAGATCATTTCTGTTTACAGCACTTTCTATGAAGTTAACTGATAAATATTATATTTGAAAGCATCCTCACTTTAGTGCCTTTTAGTGCCTAAAACTTTTACAGAAACATTATTAATATTGTATTAAATCTATATTGTACCTGTATGACAACAAACTGGCCAGAGTGTAGTGTTTTTTTTTCTCTTTTAGCTGTTAGCTCATTGATAAATTAGGTCTTTTTTATGGAAGAAATTTTTCAGCACAAAATAAATATAAAATTGATGATGGCCAAATTCCATTTAGCTGCTAAGATTTTCAAGTCCTGCCACGTCTTTAACAATCCATATTACACACTAAGGTTTTTAGTACGTGGTGTGTCCTCACAGGAATGCTGATAAAATAAAGTATATAAGTGGCGCACCAGTAGCTCACCTGGTTGAGCACGTACCATTAAGGCTGAGTCCTAGTCGCAGCAGCCTGGGTTTGAGTCCAGCCCGAGTCCTTCGCTGCATGTCATCCCCTCTCTCTCCCCTAACTTTCCTGTCTCTCTCTCACTGCTACTATCATAATAAAGGCAAAAAAAAAAACGTAAAATAAATGAAGTTTAATAGGATCAGACTGCATGCATAAGAAATACAGTGGATTTTCCTGTGGTCTGTTGATGTACACTATTCTCCTACAATGCAGTGCACAAAGGAATAAGGAGCTGCTTACAGAAAGGAAATCAAATAAACAATGAATGGTGGCGAGACAGCTCCAGGAATAAGTGTCAGATCTTAAGAAAAACATTTTACTGTCCACATTACATATACTGTATCATTTCCTGTTAGTATAAAATGGTGAGGTATTTTCAGATTTTATACAGTAACCGCTAAACAATATATTACTATGGAGTAAATACCGTATAGAATCAGTATGTAGTATGGATTTGGGACACATTACTATCATGGCTCACTGGGTTCCTGGGTTCCTTGAATAGAGCAGTAACATCTCCTACTATGAAAAGTCAGAATGTCTCCCATGAAAAAGGCCGACAGCTGTGTCCAAAATCAGTCTCTCAAGTGAGAAACGTGCATTATATTGTGCCCTCAAGAAAAAAGTACATGACACCAAATAATGAAAATTCAAAAGTGTCCAAAGTCTCATTTAACTGGTCACTAAATTAAGAAATAATAAAGTAAACTAATAAGTGCTTTTTATGTCGGGAATAGTGAATTGGTGAACAAAGGAGGGATTTCAGACGCAGCCAACATCGTCACCTAATGTTCAATTACATCTTTCATCCTTGAATGTCTTATTTATGAGCACAATATTTCAGATATGACATGTTATTATTCCAGGAATAAGAAGCTTCCTCTTCACGTGATGAGTTCAGTTTTGTTCAGTTTTCTCCATCAGAGTTTTTTTGACCATTTATAACCATGAGGTGTGATGACATCATTCTCCTGCCTCCTCCTGTTTAGTGTCAGCGTCATGCTCGCTGTCCTCTGAGTATTCCTCATGATCGTCTGAGTAGTGGTAACTTTCGTCAGAATAGTGGTGATCACGATCATCACCACGGTCATCCTCATCTGAGCGCTGACCGCCGGGGTCCTCGCCATAGCGCTGGTTGAACGAGGCCTCGTCGCTCTCCTCGTCTTCTCTCCCTCGTTCCCTCTCGTCTGGATCATCCACGTCTTCGTCATCGTCGTCGTCGTCATCGAGGAAGACCTTCCTGTAGTGAACAGGTAGATATCCCATGTCTAGGTCCTCCTGGTCACTAATAAACAGACAAACACAGTTAGAATACTTTCACCATTCGGCTTAAAATATAAACTTACTCAATAATCATTACAGTTTTCTTTTCATATTTCTTCTCAGCCACTAATCAGGAAGCTCTGACTTGACATTTATGACTGACTCTTTACTGAAAGGTCTCTCAGCTTGTCTAAGACATAATGAGCATAAAAACACCTGCACCCATACGTTTCTATATAAGCTGAGCGTTCACACATTTTACTCTTTATTCACGGCAAATTCATCAAATACTAAACGATGTTTGTCAAACAGAAATACCAAATACTTGTATACTTTAAACGTGAAGATGAACTTTATTTTTCTCTGTTAGAAGAAAAATTAAAAACTTTTTAACTGTTGCTCAGAGGAAAGCGAATCTGAAAACATCCCATGAGGCTTTACCAATATGTTTTTCACCAAAGCTTTAAAGGCAGCGCTGATTGATCTAGGTCACACTCACTCGTCTTTCCTGTAAAGCTTGAGACCGGCTGGGTCAGTAAACCTGAGTGTAGTGTGGAGTTTGCGCAACAAGGACGTCACAGATTTACCTCTGTTTGCCGTCACTGTGCTGGGAGGCAGATCCTGATTTGGCCGCCTTGCCGCTGATGAACTCTTCGGTCAGATTGTATCCCTGCAGGGCGTCTGTGTAGCGCTTCTCTGCCGCCTGTTTGGCATTCCTCTGTTGTCAAAGCACATGTTCAGAAAGCTGGTGTAAGTAATGGAATAAATCATCAAAGATCAGGAAGTCCCCAACTCTCAAATACCCTCATCAGTCCGTCATGAACACCGGGAATTGTTTTGTCTATTAAGTTTCCTTCAACCTGACTCACTGTCAGCGTGTGATTTCCCATATTCCCCCGATTTACCTGCATGTCTCACTCAAAAGCACCTCAGTGAATCTGGTCTCTGAGTGTCAGTGCAAAATGGAGGATTTAGAAAGAAGCTCTCCATTCTGAGGGTCCAGAGAAAGTTCAGATCATTCAGCAGCTTTTTACCCCTATGTTACATAATTATTCGCCAATTATGAAGATAAGAAGAGCATTTGTTTGTTTGTTTGTTTTTCATCGATTTATTTTTATTCCTTACTATATTGAGAGTGAATGCAGCTATTATATGCTGAAGTATACAGTATATTTTACATGCTAGAGGCTGTATTTCATAATGTTGAAATTTAAATAGAAGTATTGTGGTAAAACACTTTGTAACACTGTTTAAGTTATTATTCATTCGTGTTATTTTATAATCTTTGATGATTAAGTTTTAGTCAGAACATCTCTGTTCACCATGGTTTTCTGTATGTTTGATGCAGAAACATAATTTCACCTTTAGTTTAGTGTTAATTAGTTTAATTGGCCAATCAATTCACCCGTCTCAGTTTAAAGGATCTTGAGGCTTGTGCAGAATCAGCAGCTGTTTATAAAGCCTCACAATCTGCTGTCACTACAGACGAGGGTGTTGATGTGAGACGATGAGTGCTAACTGGTTTGTCGTGGGGGTGATCAGATGGACACGTGATGTCTGATTCACAGGTGAGTTTAATTTTTTCACCTGTGCAACCTGCTCCAGCAGCAGCGGCCTCCCCTTCACTCTCTGCTGCATCTCTTTCATCTCCTGCTGGTACTCTTTCCTGCGCTGCTGCTCTTGTTTCCTGCGGAGGTTGAACGCAGAGTTGTGGATTAAAAACACATAAATTTACTAATAAAAAAAAGGGGGCTGTTCAAGTTTATCATTGATGATGTAGTCGTGTTGTTTTTCATGCACCTGAATTCTTTAAGTTTCGTCTGGTGGGTCTGTGAGAGGGCCAGGTGGGGGTCGTTGGCCTGCGCCCGCTTCAGCACGACCCTCTGCAGCTTCTTCTCCCTCTGCTTCTGCCTCTCCCTCCTCCGCTCCTCTTCCTCCTCAGCCTTCTTCCTCTGCTCCAGCGCCTTTCTACTCAGGGAGACAATCTGGTCACTGATGGAGGAAGGTTTGGACGGGACGGGGACTTCGGGAGGGCGGGGGCAGATAGTCGAGGATATGGGTGCAACACTCTGCTATGGGGTGTTAAAAAGTGCTGAGGATGATGGGAAAAGGAGCTCCACAAAAATTCAGATTTTGGGGGATTTCAAACACAGAACTGTTGAGGTCACTATGTCTAACCAGGACATATGACTGTCTCTGTCTCAACTAAAATGGTGGAAGCCCTGGGAGTCCTAAGATGGTACCTCACGGCCTCATGGCGCCTTTTGGTAGCGTCTGTGACTTTGGCAGGAAGCACCTCCAGGCTGCCGGAGAGAGACGAACAGAGGCTTGAGTTTGGCGTGCGAGCCGCCCCGGAGTTGATGTACGGCCAGCGCAGCATCCGAGGGCTCTGCTCCTTCTCGATGTCGGCCAGGATGCGTTCGCGGTGCGAGGAGATCTGCGACGTCCTCAGATCAAAGGGTTCACATGCGGTCGTGGGCTTCACCTCCTTCCGCTTCTCCAGTTGTTTCTGGAAGCGTTGGTAACTGGCGTTGAAGTCAGGAATCTCTTTGTTGATCTGGGGTCTGTGGGTGAAGCTGTTGTCCCCTCCTCCTGCCGCATCGTCTTTGGTCTTCTTGCGATCGCTGAGTCGTCGTGCAAGCATGCTGGGAGGCATTGAAGCGCTGTGGAGCAGCTCCTGAGCTCTCATCTGTATCTTGATGGAGCGATACAGCCGCTCCTCCTTCATCTGCTCCCCTGATGCTGCTGCGTACACCGCCTTGGGCACAGGCTTGGCTTTGAAGGGTTTCACTTTCTCCTGGTCGGACGGTTGCGGGTGACGCAGCTGCTTCTGCTCCTTCTTTAGTCGCTCCCTCTCCAGGAAGCTGAAAGGTTTCTGGACAGTCCGGAGATGCTGCTCCTCTCGGTCTCGCATGTTTTGGCGCCGCTCGTGATACTGCTCCTGCAGCTCTTCATACAGCGGGAGGTGAACGTGTGCAGGGACGGGGCTGGCGCGGAACTTCCTCTGGCACTCTGTCAGTTCTTCCAGCTGCCGTCGTAGCTCTGCGTTCTCCACTTCCATCTCCGAACGCGTCTTGACGCCACGCTTTCGTCTCTCGGCCTCACGCACTGTCATGTGGAAAGGTTTCGGGACGGTCACTCTGTGTTTCCAGCTCTGCTCCCCGGCTTTAAGCCCCTGCCTCTTCTTTCCTTTTCCCTTTCCCGGTCTCTTCTGGTCTCCTGGCAGGCTGTGCAGCGAGCAGGACGACAGGTGACGATTGTGAGGGGACACCTTGAAGTCCCTCCACATGTTCTTGATGTGCTCTTTGGGAGAGAAGAGCAGGCCTTTCTCCACATCGTCATTGGCGGCTTCATCCTCATACGATAAGTCTGACTGTCCTGAACTCCTCCGCAGTTCAACAGCAGAGTGGGACTTCCTCAAACGGCGTGCAGCTGCTGGGCTGGTGTTTGACCATAGCAGCCTGATTAGAAATATAAATAGATGATATGTTAAAGCACCTGTGACTCATAAATTCATTCATCATTACTCACCCTCACCATGTGACAGTGAAGTAAAAAAATGGGAACAAGGTGCTATCTTTAACGAATGTGAGAACATTTTTCTTTTTTTTATTAATTTCCAGCTTCAGATAAATCATCTCAAATGCAACATATACTGTAGATGCTCAATTAAATTGCAATCAGGGTTGTAACAATTTTTAATTATTGTATCTGTCAATTATTTTCTCAATTATCTGAGCAAATATCAAAAATATCCAAAATCCAAAGATATTCAGAAAAATACTTCACATTTTAATCCTGAGAAGGGATTCAAACAATAAATCTAGTATTAAAATAGTTGCTATAATTATACATTAATGTTATAACAGACAGCACAAAATTTTATGTAATTAAAGCAATAGAACAGCTTGCGATTTATGAAACTATTCCATCTCAGACTCATTAAAGGGTCAGTTCACCCAAATTACGCAAAAACAAATTTTCTCCCTTACTGATAGCAAGACAATATCATTATTTTCCATATATATATTTTTGTTTTCTTATTTGGTTTGTGATTATATTGGTTTGTGCTGCACTGAAACAGTGGAAAATTATAAAAAAAATTATTTTGGATAATTCACAAACCTCCCTGACAGCAGTTTACACTAATTTTACACTAATTTGCTGTGGAAACTATTAACAGCATGATCTGTGGATTATCCAAAGTGAATGGGACATTATTTCCAAAAAGACACATCACACTTGTGTTTTACAAATGCAAATTTCAGCACAGACAAAAGGTTTCAGAGGTGGATATCTCAAAATCAGGGCACATTAAACAAAACTACCTACATGGCTAAACACCACTGGTCGTGAATGAGAAACTATGTTTTGTGTTATGTTATGAAATGTTGATATAGCCCCCCCCTCAGGCCAAAAGGAGTAAGACCAAGGCTTCTTTTTGTTGTATGTTTATGCAGTTAAAAAAATCTATGTTAAATCCATAAAACCATAGAGACAATAAACCCAACACAGTTAACTTTATATAATCCACCCACCTGTGCCCCGTCTCCAGCGTTGCCATGTCCAAAGGCTCCATGAACTTGAGCTCCAGCTTTCGCCGGTACATGCTCTCCAGCTCGGCCATGGTGCGGAGGTGGGCCTTCTTCAGCTCCTCCAGCTTGCCGTAGTACTCCTCGTTGGAGAAGAAGATGTTGCTCAGGTTGAGGTGGTCTCCTGCTGCCCTGTAGTCATTCAGCAGGAGAGGGCCGCCCTTCCCCAGACAGTCCTCATCACAGAAATCAGAGCCTGAGTCCTCATACTCCAGCTGAAAGGATCAAGTGTGGCCCCAGGGGCAAACAAACAACAGCATATGATTGACCTGCTTCATATGATATTAAAAAAACTTCTTCAAACTGATAAATGCATTTAGAAGTTTCCAGAGAGTGACATTTCAGGCCGGCTTCAGGATGGTGTTTATCCACCAGGCCTCCTGGAGCAGAGCAGCCCTGCTCAGCGGCACTCAGGCTCCTCCAGGACTAAGCCTATTATCCTGCTACACCAGCAACCTGGGCCATATGGTGGAGCACAAAGGGCAGCTAAGCATGAAAGCTAAGTTCAACTAACACGCTAACACACCTTGCATCAGGTGTCTGGCATCATGGCTACTCACATTATCATGAGGTGTTTGTCAAGGGCTTCACTAAAATGGGACAACTGCTGCAGGGAATGACGGCAGTGTTGTTGTGACAAAGGACAACTAAGTGTTTGGGATTATAAAGTGAATGTGACGTCTGATAATCTAGTCAAGACGGAAGTCCAGAAATAGTCTGGCCAACAAATTACACAGGTCAAGTCCTTTCCACCACACGGGCTGACCTGAAACTGTCAGCAGCCTGTTGACTGGACAAGATCAGACACTGTATCCGGTTCAGTCAATAAGGTGAAACTGAAACACTGCAACTCAATAAGTCAGGATTGTACTGTGGAAAGGAGGAAAAACACATGAAATCAAACTGTTTTGAGTCATCTAATTCAGGATGGGCAGTGTTCATGAAATATAATTTCTAAAGCATTTTGACTAAATCACATTTTCAACTGTACTTTTATTTGACAGTTGAACTCAATTACAGTGCTTTATTTTGAAACTTCCTCTAGCATCAGTGGTAATCCCCTTACTAAGGGTGGTGCATCAACATTAAAAGTAGAGAAAATATCTTCAAGCTTGTATCTTTTTTACCTTGTAATGTATAATATCTAAATGTTGTAGCTTACGTTATCAGACGTTTAGTTAGATCTAGTTAGGGCTAATGTGCCAGTAAAACAAATTTTAAGTTACGTTTAAGGCGTTTAAAACTAAAGGGTGAGACTTGATACGGAATAAAGTGATTTTTTTTTATTGTGTTTACCTCCTTCTCGTAGTCCCGGTTGTCCATATGAGGTGTAGCCGTGTACGGCAGGACTCTCTCCCGCTCGTATGAAGCTAACGGCGCTTTGGTGTGCGGGTCTACCGGCGTTTTCAAACACGAAGTGACCAGCACGTTTGTCCGGTGGGCGTTCGCCATGGCTCCGTAAAAAATTGTTCCAGTTTTAAAAAAAAATAAATTTTAGTTATAACTTGTTGTAAAAATCACTTGAACAGAAAAACGTTAATTCGGCACGGTGAACCGCGAGTCGCTGTCCGCGTGCTGAATACTGTCTGTCGGTAACCAGGCAACCGGTGAGCTCCTTAGCAACGGAGAAGAGCTTGGTCGGGGTCTGTAACAGGAAATGTGGGTTCTTTACAAATTAAAAGTATCGTAATTTGAATGACTTATACAGAATATCCACCGCGTGAATTATTTTGACTGACATTAAATTATGACATTAATGTTTTCCTTCTGCAAAACTGATATTAAACCCACGGAACACAATTTCTTTCCTTAGTTTTGATTTCCAACTATATCGGAAGCAGACGGAAGATTTTGACTGTTGAACCCATTTCACACGTGGATATAAATTATGGACTGGTAATGACGCAGAAGCTGGAGAATTTGTTGATAAACAGTTTTTATATGTGTTAAATGGAATTTAGACATATTTGACTGTGTACACTAACCTGTAAATCTTTTTTATAATGAATTTAAGATCAGCCCATTAAATATTGTAATTTATAATCTCCTACACATCTGTTCAGATCGGTAGATCTTCCAATCAAATAACTTGACCATACATTTGTAAAATTTAGATTACATGGTACATTTTGTGTTGCCTTATATTTGTAACTCTTTATTCCTGCCTATCTTGGCAAGGAAAATAGATTTTTATTGATTTTCTGGTTAAATAAAAGGTCAATTTTCTTGTATGCCATTGTTCATTTTATATTTGAATGTTTGTTCTATTACTCAGACACAAGCAGATGATCTGTAATGTCATGATTATACTGCCTGGTTTGTAAAGTCAATGTTCAACAAAGCATAGAAACATATAGAGTGGCTGACCTAGATATTAAGTACTATTAGTTTTCAGATATCAGACCAATACACAAACTGACAAACTGCCAACCAGCCAAGCTGCAGGAAATATGGTTACATCTCTTCTGTTCCTGAGTTACAGCATTGAATAATGTCCAGAGGTGTTTTTACAGAACATTATGATGTAATAGTGAAGTTGACCTTTGACCGTTTGGATATAAAATGTCATCACTTCTTATCCTATTAGACATTTGTGTTACACCTGAAAACATCTTGCCTCCGGATGTCGCCACTCAACTGTACATCCCCTCACTGTTTAGTAAAAGAATCACACAGGCAGCAGCTGGAGTGTCAACAAAAAAACAAGCCTTGTTTTTTATTAAATTATGCAACGTAACAACTACAGTGGAAATCTGAACAGACTGGTGTCGACACAGAGTCCTCTGATCCCTCACAGCACGAACAGGCTTAGTGACAGAACTCACTGGACAGACTCAAGTCTCTTATCGAGTGTTCACCTGCAACGAGACAAAACAGACATTCAGTTATGACTGAATATAATTGACAGTGCTCTCACATTTTGCTAAAAACAGGAATTCTCGTTTAAGTTAGTCTGGGATTTGGGAGGTGGAGTCTTACCACGTCATCAATCTTGAGGATGCTGCGGACCGTCTCTGTGGCCAGGGTCAGTGCACTGATGGAAACCAGAAGAGGCTGCACCACCAGCTCGTCGAGGATGTTGGAGATCCCACCCTGTCACAAACACGCACACGGTAAACCAGTCAGAAGTGCATGGTGGCCAGTGTCAAAAGAAAACACATACGGGCGTATCACTGGCACAAGAGCAGGAGCAGAGTTACATGTAATTTACTTTTTCAGCAGGGATTTATCTTTTAATCTCACTCCAACTAACAGTTATTTCCATTTTCAATTCTGTAAAATGCAAAAATGTGTTCCTTCATGAACGTTGTAAGTAATCACAGTATCAGAGGGGAGCCGACCGACCTTGCGGACGTTGATGCCGGCCATCTTGTCACCCTGGGCGTGCCTGTTGCGGAGCTCCGTCACAGTGGAGATGGGGTTCAGGCCGGCGTTCTCGGCCAGCGTGGAGGGGACCACCTCCAGGGCGTCACCGTACGCCCGCACGCAGTAGGCCTCCATGCCGGCCAGGGTACGGGAGTACTCGGCCAGACGCACAGCCAGCTCGATCTCTGGAGCGCCACCGCCGGCTATCAAGGCCCTGAGGGGCGGAGGAGGAAGAAGAAGAAGTAGTAAATGAAAAAGATCCTTCACTCCAAATATGTCACGATGCGATTCTGAAAGCAAAAAACATGTCAAACAGAAAATCCCCTGCAGTAGCTTCCTGTGTCTTCTGTCCTTACATCAAACATTCATGTGTGATCCTTTACAATGAAGTAACATGTAGCTGTGACTCAGTCACTGGATTATGACCAGATTATTTCAATAATGTCTGAAGCCCTGAAGAGGTAAAATGTCCAGTCAAACAGAACCCAAACACCGGTTAAAAGGTCATTCCAGTTATTTTTATCCATTATAATTCAAACTAACTTTGGGAACATAACAATTTTGCTGCAACTGCAAATAGTCTTCATGTTCGCTGCCGTGTCGGACAGAAAACTGATGCGCAAAGCTAAAGAATAAACCTGAATTATCTTTTCAGTAGATGTTTGACAAGGTGCCTTTTCTACATCTCATGTACTGATGAATCACGACAGTTGTTTCTCAGTATTTCTGGGATGTGGAATATGTGTGAACGCTCCGCAGCCAAGTTGCTGAGGCAACCAGGAGTGAACAAACGGTGAGCTCTCCACTTTCCTGTTCCTCTGTTTGTTACGCTCCGACATGATGAACCAACGTCAGAGCGCCTTTGTCAGAGGGAATCTGTGTGTTCGGATGTTTCCTCTCTAAGACTCAGAGTCATCAGCATCATCTGATTCCTCATCTGTGAAATAAACTCTGCAGCAGAAACAAACCGACCTCTTCTTGACCAGGCAGCGGATGACGCACAACGCGTCGTGGATGGAGCGCTCGGCCTCCTCGATCACCAGCTTGTTGGAGCCGCGGACCACGATGCTCACCGTCTTCCCGGGGCTGGTGCAGCCTGTGATCTGCAGGGAGCAACAACAGCGGTCTTAGCGGAGACGTAAGGCCAATGTGACTGCCTGGTTCTTTCTGCTCATTGGTCTCCAGCTGTAATAAACGAGAAGACGCGGCGTACCTTGACCAGCTTGCCGGAGCCGTCCAGGTTGACCTCCTCTGCCAGCTCTGCTGTGCCGAGCATCTCTGGAGTAAAGTGGTCGATGTGTGCGATGGGCTTGGTGCCGATCGTCTGAAGGGGAGTAGACACTTTATTTTACTTTACTGTCACAGCTTTATTCCTACAGGACAATAAACACGTGTTTAATGTATATTTCTGTATCAGGCCTCCGCTGCAGCTGACAAAGACGTTCACAGCAATGTTCAAACGTCCAGCGGGACAGAGATGATGTTGACAACAAGTCTTGTCAAGAACTTGTTTTTGCCTCCGACCACAAGAAACTTTCAACCAGAACAAACGATGAAACAAAGACCTTCTGTAAGATGTAAAATCCTACAAAGTTCTCTCTCCTCACTGATGTTTTATTGGCATATTCAGGTTAATGTGGAAACAACTGTGATTTTATCAGTGACTGATGTTTCCAGCTGCTCAGTACCAGCCTGAGGAGAAAGAAACCGATCAGTGACGCTCACCTTGCAGATGAACTCGATGTCCTCTCTCTCGATTTCTTTCACCACCATGATCTTCATTTTGTTGAGGAAGTGCAGGGCGAGGTCGCTCAGGGCGTCTCTGTCAAGGGACGGTTCGTGGTTAGTATCAAACACGTTCAACATGTAAAGCAGCATCTGTTCTCGTGTCCGCCGCGTCTGTGTACCTGAGGATGGACTTCTGGATGAGCAGCACGTTGCAGCCGGCCTTCTTAATCTGTTTCACCAGGTTCAGGATGTAAGCGCGTTCCTCCCGAAGCACGCGGTCCATCTGGGCGTAGTCTGACACCACGATCTGGTTGTCCATCTGCATCCCAAAAGAAAACACACACACACACACACAGGTCAGGAGAGAAGGGGCCCTGACAGGAACTGCTCACGGCCAATATGAGGTTCTAAAAAGGTCGATTTTGTAAATACATTTACATTTAAAAGTTAAAATCAGTGTGAGATATAAAACTGTTTAGGACTGACTGAACACACAGATTCAGGTCGACCACGCCCCCTTCACATGTTAAACAATACATCCACATTCACACTTTGTTTTGGTCTCAAGTTGTTGTAATGAAGAGTAGAGACGTGGACCAAAACACGTCACATTTCAAACATCGTGCTTCAGCTCGGTGTTAAACCGATGCAGCAGGTGAATCTGTCGTCAGGTGACTCACGTCGGTTTTGGGAGGGGACAGGCAGAACTGGATGAGGCCGATCTTGGCCTTCTCAACACGGGTCACGCCGGTGTTGGCCACCCTCTGGGTCAGCACCAGGCCGTCCACCAGCTCACAGTCATCGATGGTCCCACTGAAAACACACGAGCACTTTAAAATCCTCAGAGGAGTCTCAGGTTTAAACGCCTCAAAATCAATCAAACAGAAGTATTTCAAACTGATTCTAAAAATGAAAGTAAAACTTCAAATGTGAGAACGGAGACTGATGCATCAAGTGGTGACAACAGCCGGTGGATGGTTGCACTCACCCGAGCTTCTTGATGATTTTGATGTCCTGCAGGTCGACGCTGGTGGCGGTGGCCGGGTCGATGACTCTCATGACGGCGTCCACGCTCATGGGCGCCAGCAGGCTGGAGTACTGCGACACCACCTTGGAGCACAGCGACGTGGTGGCGCTGTTCAGCAGCGTCTCGCGGTCGCTCAGCTGCACCGGCCGGCTCATGGCCGTCAGCACCTCCACGCCCTTCTCCACAGCCTTCTGGAACGACTCGGAGATGATGGTGGGGTGGATGCCTGACCGACGAGACAGGGCGCAGACATTAATGCATTCTCTGACAAACATGACTGAAAACAATGTTCAGCTGCACTGAATGTTCAATACTCCAACATTTCCACCCGTTTCTACCTTCAGTGTTTCCACCTTTTAATTCCTCTCGTTTAATTTACAATAACGGCACCAGCTCATTTTTTATTTAGCGTCCATCTTGTGTCCTCTGCAGGTCTTACCTCTCTGCAGCAGTTTGGAGCAGGAGTCCAGCAGCGCTCCGGCGATCACCACCACAGAGGTGGTGCCGTCGCCTGCCTCGATGTCCTGGGCTTTGGACAGTTCCACCAGCTGAAACACACACACACACATTTCAAACATCAGTTCATGTTAAAATCTACCAAAAGAATCAACCATCAGACGGCCTGGTAACGTACCATTTTGGCGGCAGGGTGGAGCACCTGCATCTGCTTCAGGATGGTGGCCCCGTCGTTGGTAATGGTCACGTCACCTTTCTCGTCCTGGATCTGAAACAAAACAGCTCCTGCTTAGAAACACGTGTAGGACGGAGGAGCCGAGTAAATTCATCCTGAAGACAAAATGTGTTTACTGACCATCTTGTCCATGCCTTTGGGTCCCAAGCTTGTTCTGATGGCATCTGCAACAGCTGTCAGACAAGCAGGAGAAGTGTCGGATCAATGACAAGGATCACGCCAACGTGTCTTAGATTAAAAGCACGAGTAACCAAAATCTTAATATCAAGTTTGGTCTTGTTCTTAGTACAAAAAGCAGAGGTTGCGTGTGCATGTTACAGGATGACAAAACAAAGGAAAATGAAGCTGTTAAAATCTAATTTCTTCATTGCCCATTAAAACCAAAGTGATGTTACTTCTGTACTTCCTGCTTTTACTTCAGATCCTTCTATTCAACACACTCAGTCACTTGCAGCTCAGCATCTGGCCTTATATAGTGTGCAGCAGGTTCGAGCCAGTAAACTAGCTGATGCTGAGATTGTGTCGAGTCATGAGCATCTTGCCGGCAGAGGACACCAAACCAAACTCCAGTCAAAATTATGGAGATTATAATCTCATGCTGCTCTTCACTGTCAGCTTCACTGCTGCAGGCGTTAACGGAAGCAAACCTAATTCTGAGGCAAGTTTTTGTAAAGTAAGTGGATTGATATATGCTGAATTTGATAAAAAAAAAAAAAAGGATCCTTATGAATTATTGATCCACATATATCTGTTGCAGTCACTGTGTTATGTGCTATTAATACTGAGTGAGCTGCTGAATTCAGACTTTATTGAATGAGGTTTCGGACCGGGCAGGCGGTGCCCTGCCCAGCCCAGAGTTATGAATACGGACTGAAAGATGTGATTTTAGGGAGCCGGATGGTAAAATATTAAAATAGCTTGTTAGCATTTTAGCCTACCTTTAGCAGCAGAGATGTTACTGAACCGAATCTGGGCCGGCTTGTCGCGGTCCACATACGCCCCTCCTTTGTTTTTGCCTCCGGTTAAGGCTTTCGGTGCCGCCATTGCTTCGGGCATCGCAACTTTATAATCGACGGGAAATGTTAAGAGGAGTCTTCAGAAGGGGACTGATGAGCCCCGGCGCTGGTACGCAGCGGTTCGGCTTCGGATGGTCTCAGATTCTGCTGCTTCCACCCGGTCCCGGTTAGAACCTTCCAGAGCCACGGGTTGCTGCGGAGAGAAGGACCCGGCTGTCTACTGCCCGGCGATTGGAGGTGACGTTTCAAGGCAGTAGGCGTCGATTACCGAGGTGATCGAACTGATTTATATTTATTTTATTATTTAAAAACAGTTCAATTTTGATTGAACTTTACATAAATGTGACTATTTATCTAAACATACGCGATTACAGTTATTACAGTGTTTGCTAATACCTACATTTTAAACATTACGGTGAGACGAGCTGATATGGATTGATTAGCTCTGTCTGTCGGGGCTGAGACAGTAAGGAAGAAGCTTTTTGGATGAACATGCTAACAGACACCTGAACTCTGTCTGCTTTCTTTACGGTTTACTTCTGTGGATTAACCATTTCGCTACACGGTAGGTTTATTTCAGGTGTTTAGCAGCAGCTCACTGTCTTCACATCTACTCATCATGGCTCTTAAAAGCTCACTGTTAGCTAAGTTAGCTTAGCTCATGCTAAGTCTCATGCTTTAGCAGTGGTGGAAGAAGTATTCAGTGTATCCTATAGGCTGTATATGGGCATATCCTTTATTTACATTTTAACATTAAGTACTAGTACTAGTACTACTAGTACATAAAAGGACTAATACTACATTTAAAAAATACTCAATTACACTTAAATGTCGTGCAATCAAATGTTAATTGAGTACAGGTTTGTAAGTATAATCAGCTCACTGCAGAAAATACAAACTATAAGTGTTATATTAGTATATATTACATCATTATATTATTATTACTCGGACATTAATGTGTAATCAGCATTTCACTGCTGCAGCTGGAATTCTAAATGTTCTGTAAAAACCTGCAACAAATGATTATTTTGATTTGTAAAAATTTACAAAATAGTGAAAAATGCTGTGACGATTATGCACAAACATTTTTTGAACTGATCCTTAAATTTGGTTGATATATTAAAGTTTGTCCAGCAGAGAGCGCAAACAAGTTTATTTATCAACAGTAAAAACTTTGTAATGGAGACACTGATCATTGGTGTTTATGTTTTGCAAAGTCATGCTTCTTATTGGTGATATACTTTCCAAATACAGATGACAAATATCACCAACGCCTTTGATTTGGATTCATTTAATCTGTTGTGTAATCAATTGATTATTTTTTGATTGTTTCACCTGCAAAATGCCAGAAACAATGATAGACGCCCGTCACATGAAGCTCCTCAAGTTCTCAGAGCCTCAGTGTTTTAAGACTTGTCATGTCCGACCAGACGTCTGAGAACTCAGACTATGACAGAAATACTCACATATGAAAAGACAGAACCAGCAAATGTTGTTTTGTTTACCTAATTAATTACTTATGACTAAAATAATTTGAAAAGGTTTAATTGTTTCAGGTCCTGTGCCTAATGAAGTAATTACCTCAGCCTGTGTTTCCTAATGAATGTGTCTGTCATCAGTCTGTCATCAGTCTGTCATCAGTCTGTCATCAGTCTGTCATCAGTCATGCTGCCTCTGAAGGAGAAGGACAAACCCATCGTCCAGAAGCTGCTCTCAGCCGGCTGCTGCGCTCGCTGCATCCTCAGATTCTGCTGCGTTCGGGTTCAGGCCGCCTACAGACAACCACAACAGGCAGGACTCCTAACCTGCCACCTTCTGTGTCCAATCATTTATACATTCAAATGCCCAGTGTTACTCACTGACCCGTCATGCATTGTGTCGTTGTTTCACACAGGATACACTGAAGGAACTACAAGCTTTCATCTGCGACACAGAAAACAGCAAATCCCAAGATTCAGCAGCATCAGAGGCCACAGAAGAAAACAACAAGTCCCATGATGCAGCTGTATCAGAAGCGCCTGAAGAGCCACCGACCAAACGAGTTAAACTGGAGCCGAGTGGGACAGACGCTCAGTCTGAGGAAGACGCTGCTGCTGCTGCTGCAGCTGCAGCTGTCACACTGAAGGAGGAAGAGTCGCACGTGTGTGTGCTGTGTTTGGGAATCCTGCATCAATTCTGTGGCGCGTCTCAGGCTGTAAAGGTGTGTGTGTGTCTCTGCATTCATAAACAACACTGTCAACAACAACAGCCGCAGCGTCAGGTTGTTCTGTTGCTGAGGTGAACTCGATGTTCTGTATCTTCACAGATAGCCGAGACAGTGAAGGAAGAAAAGTACGAGTTTGACACCCTGGTGCTGTCTGTGTCTCTGCCGGCTCAGCTGTGTGTCCGGGAGGTCAGTGTGTGTGTGTGTGTGTGTGTGTGTGTGTGTGTGTGTGTGTGTGTGTGTGTGTGTGTGTGTGTGTTGTAATAACCAGGCTCATCTGTTGATCATCTTTCCAGTGAACTGATAAATCATTTGATCTGTAAAATGTCACAAAATTCTTAAAATGTCACGATTTCCCAGAGCTTCAAACTGTTGATGTAGTTTGACAGTTCAAAAGCCAAAGATATTCACTTTACAACTCGTCACACTGAAAAGCTGGAAGCAGCAAATGTAAAACACATCTTTAGCTTGAAATACGACTCAAACAATTGATTTACTATCAACATTGATAATGAATTGACTGAAGGGTTTCTGGTATGAGCACCAGATGCACATTTTTTAATCAAATTTCCAAACAGTTGGAAAAAGAAAATGTAAATTAATGTATTTCTGTCTTTGTCTGTCACATGCTCTTATTTTGAAATCAGTCACTGGTTTAAATTAGTAAAGATTAGAAAAGTCTATGAGACGAGATAAGATCTGTGCTGTTGTGTAATGCAGCTTCAAGCAGAGACACTTAAAAAAACTGACTGTGTCTCTCTGTGTTTCTTTAATTCAATTAATAATTACATTCAATTTGATACATTTTTAATTAGTAATTCAATTAAAGAAAAGCTTTGTTTTGTTTTGTGTCACATCAGTAAAACGTCATGTGTCTGATCTTTGTTTTATTTGAACTTTGACCCTGCAGCATTCCTGTTGGCTCCACGTGAAGAAGGAAGTGAGGTAAATTAATTTGTCCTGACTCCCACAATTTCAGGTACAGTCAGTCATATACAGTCAGTCACATACAGTCAGTCACGTACAGTCAGTCCCATACAGTCAGTCACATACAGTCGGTCACGTACAGTCGGTCAGATACAGTCAGTCACATACAGTCAGACACATACAGTCAGTCAGGTACAGTCAGTCACATACAGTCGGTCACGTACAGTCGGTCAGATACAGTCAGTCATATACAGTCAGTCATATACAGTCAGTCATATACAGTCAGTCACGTACAGTCAGTCACATACAGTCAGTCACATACAGTCGGTCAGATACAGTCAGTCACATACAGTCAGTCACATACAGTCAGTCACATACAGTCGGTCAGATACAGTCAGTCACATACAGTCAGACACATACAGTCAGACACATACAGTCAGTCAGGTACAGTCGGTCACATACAGTCAGTCATATAGAGTCGGTCAGATACAGTCAGTCACATACAGTCAGTCACATACAGTCAGTCACGTACAGTCAGTCACGTACAGTCAGTCACATACAGTCAGTCACATACAGTCGGTCAGATACAGTCAGTCACATACAGTCAGACACATACAGTCAGACACATACAGTCAGTCAGGTACAGTCGGTCACATACAGTCAGTCATATAGAGTCGGTCAGATACAGTCAGTCACGTACAGTCAGTCACATACAGTCGGTCACGTACAGTCGGTCACATACAGTCGGTCAGTTTGGTTTAACTTGAACACTTGAACATTCAGAGAAAAAGGTCTGGTGCTCGATAAGGACGACGTCATCCAGGTGAAGGAGGCCTTCAAGTGGATCATGCAGGGCCTGGTCGCAAAGGAGCTGGGGAGGGGCGTTGCCGTGGTTACCAGGGTAGGTGATCTCCACGATGAGGAGAAAAACTCTTGTTTGTTTAAGGAGCACATTTCATATGATCAGACGAACGACACGTGTTTTTTGTCTGTTTTCAGAGCGCGTTCGAGGTCGGCGTGGAGTTCATTCACGAAGCAACAGACTCGGACTGTCACTTCCTGTGAGTACCGAACTCTGTGAGAAGAAGCCGGACGGTGTGTTTCCTGCTCTGCTCTGTTTAAACGATGCTCCACTTCCTGTCTTCTGTCTTTCCCACAGCGCGTCAGCGTGTCCCGACTGTTTCAAACCCACCAAGAACAAACAGGTGAGGAGTTTAGATGTTTTGTGATAATTTTCAGAATAAAATAATCAGACGTAGGGCTGCGTGTCGTTCCAAAATTTATGATTCTTAACGATCCTTTGTTACCAATTTTAAGAAATCCATTTTAACAGAAACAAAATTACAGTACGCATTAACCTACAAATCTAGTTTTATTTTGAAGCTCCGCACTCAAATGTGTTCAAGTAGTTATTTCTTCATATTTTAATCTGCACTCGGCTAATGTTTAATTTACTTAACGAAACACAGAAAGACCCAAATCAACTGAAACTGAGGGAGTGGAGGTCAGGGGAGGGAGAGAGAGAGAGAGAGGGAGAGAGGGAGGTTCATATCAGGTGATCAGACAGACAGGAAATCCTCTGAAGATGTTGTGTGTCTGTGCAGTCGGTGTTCACCAGGATGGCGGTGGTCAAAGCTCTGGAGAAGATATCTGACGCCAGATTTCTGAAGTAAGATTCATCTTTATATCTCAGGTCTTTTTTCTGAAAGGTGTCGTCTGAAGTGATTGTTGTTGTTGTTTGTGTCTTCAGACACTACCCCTGTCCTCCGGCGCAGCCGTCCAGCTGTTGCAGCCTTCAGGACGTCCAGTGTGTCCACGTGTCCGTCTTTGTAGCAGGTAATGTAGGACGCAAAGAAAACCTTCCAACACTTTGTCGTTTCAGTCAGAATCCAAAGTGTTTCTGAAGGTCAGGTTTCTCGTCCTGACGTTCAGGGAGATACAACAAGTTCTGCCGCAGTCTGCCTCAGACGCCCTGGGTGATCGACGGAGAGAGGAGGATGGAGTCTTCGGTGGAGGAGCTGATCGCGGCGCCCATCCTGTCCGCCTTCAGAGCCGACGGTGAGTCGGCGCTAAGACGACCGGTCAAACCCGCCACACGGGGTCAGAGGTGAAGGGTCGCACACACAGTTCGACTCGCCACAGGCGGCTGAAGAACAGTAGAAAATCCTAATCACGATAACGTACGATAAAACGTGACCAGGAAGTGGATGTGGGGATGGTTTTTGTTGCGAAACAGAATGCGGCACAAATGAATAATTGTTTTATCTCAATGATCTTGTTTTCCTTATGGTTAGATCAGCGGCCCAGCTCTGTTGGACAGTCGGATCATCCTGAATGTGTCTTTTCTTTGTTCCAGGTTTTAATTTCTCCTCGTCCGGCAGAGAGGACGTCGACGTCCGGACTCTTGGAAATGGTGAGACACATGTTCTTGTTTTTCTTCTTCTTCTTTTTTTTTAAAGCTTCACTTGCAGAGAGATTTTGTCGCCTGAAGTGTGAAGACTGATTTTCTGTCTCGGTCTCAGGTCGTCCGTTTGCGATGGAGCTGCTGAATCCTCACAAATCCAGACTGAGCAGAGCGGAGATGAAGCAGCTGCAGGAGGTGCTGCCTGTTCCCTTCTCTCACCTCCACACTGGGGTCAAATATCTCAACCGCAGAAAACAAAGAGACGACGTCGACACACAGATCGTTTAATCATGTAACAGAGATTTAGCATGAAATGTTAAGAACACATTTGACGTGTGAGATGATGAAGCCTTTTCCCTCAGCTCATCAGATTTGATACAAATAGACTTCACTAAGTCTTAAATACTGTCAGTCAACAGAATCTTCTGGTGCGTCGTCTGGGAATCATGAAGATCCTCTGCTGCAGAGATACGTCACTCTGCACCAAAGTGTTGGACGGATCAACACAGGCAGCGTCTGATGTTTTCACCTGTTCTGTCACTTAATTAAACTTTTTGTTGTTTGTTTTTAGACCATTAACAAATCTTCAGATAAAATCAGAGTGAGAGATCTGCAGGTCGTCTCCAGGTAAGAACAGAAACCTGCTCTTTATCACAGCTCTGATAATCAATAGATAATAAAGTGTCAATGATCTGAGTTTATCTGTGATCGTAGCTTTTTTTTCAATTCTGACGGCATTATTATGGTTTTTTTTAAATTTCTTGAAATTTGGTTCATACATTCACTCAAAGATGAACTGATTTGATTTTGGTGGTCAAAGGTCAAAGGTCAGACGATGTGAACTGTTGCATAAAAACTTAGAACAAACATGGAGACACTCTGCTACTCTATTTTCAACTATTTGTGTGTGTGTGTGTGTGTGTGTGTGTGTGTGTGTGTGTGTGTGTGTGTGTGTGTGTGTGTGTGTTTCAAACTGCAGAGAGGCCATGAGTCGGATGAAGGAGGGCGAGGAGGAGAAGACGAAGTCGTACACGGCGCTCATCTGGACCCAGAAACCGATTGAGAGAGAGGAAATCACCTTCATCGACGACATCAAGGTCACTGCAACACACACACACACACACACACACACACACACTGAGTTGCTCTGTGATATTCTGAAACCCAGTATCTCCAGAGAAGAACGGACATGACAGTAACAATGACAGTGAACAGTCCCGTTGTTTGTTTGTCACGTCAGGAGCTGACTCTGGATCAGAAGACTCCTCTGAGGGTTCTGCACCGCCGGGCGCTCGCCGTCCGACAGCGAGTCATCCACAGCATGAACACCCGCTTCCTGGACCCACATCACTTCTACCTGGGACTGAAGACGCAGGCCGGGACGTATCCTCATCACAGCTTGACAATGAAGTCTTTCCTTTTTTTATTTTACTTATTTATTTATTTTTTATTAATTATATTTACTTGTTTTTATTTATTTTTAATTTATTTATTATTATTTATATTTACTTATTTTAATTTTTTATTCGTTTATATTTTATTTTTGAATATTTCATAGCTTTTATTTTTACTTAAGGAAGGGGCAAAAGTGTTTCAATATGTTTTCATTATTTTTGATTTTCTATTATTATTTATATTTACTTATTTCTAGTTTTTATTTCTTTTATTTTTACTTGAGGAAGGGACAAAAGTGTTTCAATATGTTTTCATTATTATTGATTTATTTATTCCTTTTTCTTCACCATATATTTCTGACAGTCAGTACATTACATATGACATATATAACATATATATATGTATATATATATAACACGTACATTAATGCTGATGTGTCGACCAACGTTGTGCTGAGCTCTTACTCTGTTTCTCTGTGACGCTGATTAATGACATCACCTCACCTCCTGTCGACGGTTCAGTCTGTCGCAGTTTCAGTCTCTACAGTTTATAGTTACTACGACCACCTGATCATCACTACACTCAAAATGCTCCTGAACCTCGGCCTCAGTTACATCAAAGAGTTTGTCCACGGAGACTTTGGACGCACCAAACCCAACCTGTGTGAGCTGCTGAAGACGGACACGGACATCCTGGAGCTGGACGTGGAGGTGAGGCCGAGTCCCAAACTCATTCAGTCCGACATGAACCGAAGCGAAGTGTCTCTTCATGTGTTACAATAACCTTCGTTAAAAGGAGCTCGTTCTTATAATGAACTCCCTGATGTTAACCCTGGGTTCACATGTCGTCCGTCTCTGTGTCCTCTCGCAGTCTGTGGACGTGGACTGGCCTCCCGTCATACCGGAGTGAACGCAGCTTCAACCTGAGCGAGGCCGGATCAGGTTCTGTTTGAACCATCCGCCACGTTCACAGCGCCTGAGCCCGACGGTGTAAATACTGTCTGGACGTGAAGAGGGAAGTCACGCTGCTGCTGCTGCTGCTGCTGCTGCTGCTGCTGCTGCTTTGAAGCCTGGTTATGTTCTGGTTCTGGTTCTGGTTCTGGTTCTGGTTCTGGTTCTGGTTCTGGTTCTGCCTGAGGACGACAGGATCTTTATTTCCAATGACTCTTTGTTTTGTGTTTTTCTGACTGAGTCAACAGAAGTTGTAGCAGCTGTGTAAATCTGTGTTGTACAGAAGCTCTGAGAGGGAAGGAAACAAATAAATTCTGCTGATCCATTTTTTAAGTCTGATGTAAATTGTTTTTATTTCCGTGTAGAAAATGTTTTATTTTTGACTGTGGCTTTAACCAACGAGCTGCAGGACGTTTCCATCGAGTGACGTAACAGGTACGAACAGGTCTGGGATTCAGCTCCAAGGTTTCTATTTAAAATGGAGCCTTTCTATATTTTCACATGTAGTTTTTAAACTACAAACCATAACCTCTAATATAATATTTTAATATAACAACAATGTGAGCCTGTGGCCACTGCAGGGAAAGCAAGGTGTTTGTTGTCGTACTAAAACCTACGATTGCCTGGTTTTTAAATACAAACAGCCACTAGTTTCCAGTCGTCACCCTGTAAAAGAAAAGAAAAGAAAGAACACCTCCAGTGTTTCCATTGGGAACGTACTTTAGTTTTTGTGATGCATTAGAGAAGAACTCTGCAGCAGCTACGTCCAGTCATTCACCCTCAGTGGTAAGAACATGAAAAGTCATATTTTATTCTGTCGTGACGAGACGCTGGGATTTTATTCCACAAACACTGAAATGTGATTAAAAACAAGACGGAGGTGTTGAATAACCACCAGAAGAAGAGAGAGGAATGAAAGAGACAGAAATCTGAAGGAAAATAGAATTTGTTGTGAACAGCAGGAACAGATTTTGGTGCCTGGACCCCGGCAGGAAGTGGAGCATCATGGGAAATGGTTCACGGGAACAAGGTGCTTCCAACACAAAGGAAACTTACCAACAAAGACGCAGTGCTGGTGGTGCAGCGTCTGATCGGAGGCCGGGCGTTCCACATGCTGAGTGACAACAGAGAGAGAGAGAGAGAGTTTGACAGGTGACGTGTGATTGGCTGAAGGGCCGGCGCGTCAGGCTGTGATTGGATGAAGACGAGAACGAGCTGGCGGAGCTAAGAGAGAACTTTAGCTTAAGCTTCGACAAACATGATGCTACAGTGAAGTTGACCTTTGACCTTTTGGCTATGAGAGTTCATCACTTCATCCTGTTAATCCAGTGACTTTTTCCAAATCGTGGCCACTTGAAAATCTCAGAAATGTTGGCGGCCCACATCCGTGTCTTTATTTTAATGATAACCATCAAATATTCAGGACTGAAGCAGATGAAGCTGTTTCTCTTTTTTTCCACCTGCTGATTCACCATTTATTTCCTTTAATGTTCCTCAGTGACGAGCCTTAATACAAGGAAAAAATAAAGTTTTTAAACATTTTTAAAGATCCTTTCATTTTCAAACATTTAAAAGAGTAAAATTGAGCTGTTTTGCAGATGACGCACGGCCCATTTGTAATACCTTCACAGCCCACACCGGGTCATGACGAATTCTTGCGTTATGGCCAAAAAAGTTGCAGTGACCTTTGACCTTCGATCATCAAATTTGAATAAATTCCCTCGAGGTGTTACGGAGATATCGAGAGACGGGGCGATGAGTTTTTTCCTCCCGGCAGCTGGAATAAAGAGTCACGACAGCAGAAACCCTGAAATGTATTTCTTTTTAATTTAATTCAAAATAAATACTACCACGGCAACGCAAGTCCACTACTGGGTTCTTGCCCTAATGTTTTGGTAAGAAAACAAACAAGCAAACGATCCAAAAAGAAAAGAAAAGAAAAAGAAAAGAAAAAGAAAAAAAAAGAAAAGAATAAAAAGAGACTTCAGTTAATGCATCCATCATCATCATCATCATCATCATCATCATCATCATCAACAACATCATCAGCATCGTCAGCATCGTCATCGTCATCATCCTCCTTCAGCGACTTTCGAGAGGTGCCTTTTTTTAACGACGTACACGGTAACACTGCCTAGAATGACAAACATAAATAAAACAAATACTATGGTACAAAAAAAGGGGGGAGGGAGGAGGAGGAGCAAGGGATGATGGGATTGGAACAACCTGATGAAACCAGCACTGCAAAAAAAAAAAAAAAAGAAAGAAAAAGAAAGGAAAGAAGTCGTCGTCCGTGGTCCCGCGGGTTTGTGTTTGTTTTTCTTTCTGAAGAGGGTGAAGGAAACAGAAACCACAGTCACAGTCGTGTCCTCTCACACAAATCCACCAGTCCATCCTTTATCATTGTCAGGGACCAGGGCGACAAAACAGGAAGGCGGAGGGCGGGTGGGGTGAGCCTGTCTCCATGGAAACATCCTCCGTGGACGAGAACGAGCTGAGTCGCTGTCATCAACCCGAGACCAAAAAAAAAAAAAAAAAAAAAAGTCTTTGACACTGTCGTTTTTTTTTTTTCCTTCTTTTTAAATATTTTCTTAAATGCAGTTTTTTGAGTCGTTTTGTTGTTGTATTTTTTCAGTCACTATATTCTCATCAGCAAGCTTGAAGTACAGTCACACAGAGAAACAAGGAAACAAAAACTTTTATGTCTCGTCTGTCAAGATGCCACTAAAAACAAAAACAAAAACAAAAACAAAAACAAAAACAAAAAAAGGCATTGCATATTTACATCAAGAAGTTTGGGGCGACTCGACTTTTTTCTGGCAGTCCTCACAGTCTTCATACATGAGTGTCTCACGGCTCAGTTTTCTCGTGATCTGTGACATGATTAGTGATTTATTGATACCCTCAGTTCAGATTTAAAAAAAAAAAAAAAACCAAACGAACAAACAAACGCATGTGTATAAATGAATTTCTCTTATAATACTGACAGGATAAACAGGGACAGAAGTCCGCGTCTGGAGCTGGAAGCCTCGTTTCTGTTAGTGTCTGTGATAAATGAAGTTTTCTTTACTCTGATTTATCCTCTAAAAACAGTCTTTGTATATCTGTGTATCTGTGTGCGAGTGTTTCTCCTTCCGTCAGGGTTCCTACACCGCCTCCTCCTCGCCGCTCCGTATGTTTCACAGTCGTTTTCTCTTCACGTTCCTCGCGCCTGAACGACGACGACACGCGAAAAACGAGACGGCCGAGCGTCAGGAAACAACAACTTTCCAAACTCTTGAGCAACTGCAAACAGGATTTTTAAAGACGTGGGAATCACCAGAATTCTTCCTCTTAACCTTTTCCAGATGTGCAGGAACCCTGAGGAGTGTGAACTGGTTTCTGCTTCTCGTTAAGAGCAGGTGACGTCGGCAGTTTTCTCTCCACAAACAAACCAGATGTGAAGCGTTCTCTGAGTCAGCTCTGGTCCGTCTCAGGCCGCTAGTGGGACGAGGGGATTATAGTCTGGTTTAGAAATGCTCGACACAAACTGAAGCTGATCTGCAGCCAACGTGATTGGACTAAATATATTTGGCTGCAGCCCCACTGGGGTCCAGGGTCGGGTCTCGCATACCAGGAAGTGGATCCGTGGAGACCTCTACTCTGCTCTCGGGGGGTGGAGGACCAACAGCTTGTTTCAGTCTGACTTTGTCTCTTAAATAAATTCAGAAGCTTTAAATCAGATTAGTAGAAGACGCAACTGAACCGAATCCAGATCCTCCATTTTGGTTTGATTTAGCGTTTGTGTTTCTGTCCAAAAACGTTTTCAGTGGCTAAATGTCAGAAACACAACGGAGGAAAACTCTGAGTCCTGAACGAGAATTTGTGAAACTGCCTGTTGGACTGATGAGGACACTGAGCTCACGTCCTCCGCTTTGTTTCCTGGGAATTTCCACCCTGGTGTAAACACTGTAATCTATTTGTGTTACAGGCTGATCACAGAGCTTTTCGTCTGGATACAGAACCGCTCAGAAGTCTCCTTTTGTCCAGCTGCTGAGTTCAACTCAACGTCTCAGTGTTCAGCTGCTGAAATTTCAATAAAAAACTTTTTAAAAACTTTTGACCAGAAGCTTAAAATAAATTCAAATTTGACAAGTTTAAGGGCAATTAATTAATTAATAAATAAATAAATAAATAAGAGAGTCAGGATTATAGCAGCACTTAGATTCATCCTTTAGGGAGATGAGATTTACATCATATAAATAAATATAGAGCATCAGAGGGGAGCTATTTGTAGAGAAAGCTTCGTAGCATAAATAAATTAAAATGAAAAGAGGGGTTTGTTCACAGCGCATGTCTGAGATCAGACGCAGGGTCGAGTCGTGTGGATTCACCTGCTGCACAAACACACACACACACCGAGTCTGAAACACTGGATCTGGTTTGTTTGGAGGGAACTGCCGACGCCAGCACGAAGAGCTCACACCTGCTTCCTGTGTGTGTGTGTGTGTGTGTGTGTGCGTGCGTGTGTGCTATGACAGCATAAGGTTGACCCCCGTGTCCCACATACATACAGTACATACATACATTACATACATACATTAAGCCACGTTTCCCTGTGTAAACATCCATTCCACTAATCCTACAGCTACGATGAGGAAACAGAAGAGCGGAGGTGAGGAGGAGGAGGAGGAAGAGGAGGAGGAGGAGGAGGAGGAGGAGCAGGAGGAGGAGGAGAAGCGGTGAGAAAGCAGAGAAAGGCCTCGTTCCCCTGCCGGCTGTGGAAAGCTGGAGCGGTTAGCTGAGTTTGAACGCGGTTGTGCTCTGTGGCGCCTGAGTGAACTGTGCAGTTTCTGGCAGTTTAGTGTTTCCTGTTTCAAAATAAAAGTAGAACTTAAAAGTAAAGCGCAAGAAAAAAAAAAAACAAAACAGAAAATGGGTTAAAAAAAAAAAAATATGAGAGCTAAGTAGTAACACTGCAACGATGAAAGGAATGATACAGACTCGTCCATTCTCGTTTTCTGTCTTTGTTTTTGTTTGTTTTTTTCTTTTCTTGTTTTTGAACCTGTCGACAGTGATGTCATTGCCATGGGATTGGGGAATGTGCGCTGCCATGGCAAATGTATGCGAAAGAAAATCTTTTTGTTTTTTTTGTTTTTGTTTGTTTTTGTAGTTTTTTTTTTTTTTTTTTGAGTGAACCACGAGCCATGCACTTATTCTCAACTAAGAATGACCCCTCACAACCCGAAACCCACCCGCCCTCTCCCAAAAAAAAAACACCCTGTCGGTATGATACGAAACATCTGCACACGTAAGGCAACATTTTTGGTTTTTTGTTCCCTAAAACGGCTCTTCCAAACCAAGTGCAAAAAGTCAAAAGAATAAGAAGAAGAAGAAGAAGAAGAAGAAGAAGAAGAAGAAAAGGGCAGAAACGACAAACAAACGAAAACAGATGAACGCAACCTGGGTCGACAACTGAATACTGACGGAGAGAAAAAAATAAATAACAAAAACATTGCCTTCTGCAGTAAATAGCGCTGAAAATGTAGGAGACTTATTTTTTTTTTTTTTAGTGTGGGGAGACCGGCTGGAGTCTATCCCACTGTGCAAAAACCTCTTTTAAAGTCCCTAAAAAGACTTTTCCCCCGTCTGCGAGGAGGCAGAGAAGGAGAAAAAGAGGGGAGACTGGTATTCTTTTTCCTAAAATGGCTACGTGTTTTCCTCAAAATGGCCACGAATGGGGACGATACTGGCTGCCGGGCCGGAGCGCTCACTCCCGCCCGCTGGCTGAGTAGGAGAACTGTGGGAAATGAGGCCTTCGCTCGTTGTCCGCCGCGTCCATCCCGTCCTCATCATCTGTGGAGACACAAACAGGAACGAACGTGGGAACGACAGTAAAGGTTAATCAATATCTGGACTGAAGTTGCTGATTTGGCAAAATTCAACATCTTAAACTTTGACCATTTGAAGTAAATTTATTGAGTTTTGTTCTTTTTTGCTCAGTGCAACATCCGTCTACATCAGCATCAATACTAATGACGGTTAGAAATATATTGTGAAGAAAAACTAACAAACAAATAATAATAATAAACTTTCTTACTTACAGTAAATATAAAACAGCTTTAAGATTCTCGTGGGACACTAAAACCTAGCTTGATTTTTAGCCATGTTAGCATCGTGGCTAAAAATCAACAGGTTCGAATGAGAAAAAGTCCAGACTGAAACGTTTAAACAGCCACTGAATGGACCGTCTGGTTACAGACGTTCATGGTCTCCAGAGGATTGAAGTTTGCAGATTTATTATCTTAATTTAACTTTGAGCATTTTTATGGTAAAAACAAAACAAACCAAAATGCAAATATAGAATCACAGTAAGTGTGAAACAGTGTTCAGATTCTCATGGGAAACTAAAAGCTAGCTTGAAGCTTGACTGTTAGCCCTGTTAGCATCGTGGCTGTTTCAGACATTCATGGTCTCCAGAGGATGAACCCTACTGACTTTAGGGAACCTCTGACTTTTCATTTAGAGACACGTATTCATTCATTTATTCCCATCGGCCTCAGCTGTACTTTGTGTTTGGTGCTAATTAGCAAACTGATGCAGACTGTTAGCATTTAGCTCAGAATCAGAAACAGGTGGGAATCGCAGACGTTTTGACGCCCTTACATTTTTCCGGCGGAGTGATGGTGATGGTCTGTGCTGTGAACTCCTCGTCGAAGTAGCGTGTGTCCGTCTCCGAGGTGACCTGGGGCTGGAAGGGCGGGACCAGCTGGAACAGACAGGAAGCAGGTGAACAAGGTGAGTTTTTCTTCTACAGCAGGTGGCGTCACTGTGATTACCGAGTTGGTCTGATGAGGATTAATGATCAATATTTGTCCATTACACCGGCAGCAGCAGGAAGTGGAGAATTAACACCAGCTGCTACAACAACTCTACTGAATACAAATGATCATATGGAGGTTTTGTTCTCTTCTAAATATAAAGATTAGGGCAGAAGCTAATGATCATTTTCAGTTTTGATTAATTTGCTGTTTTTTATTCCATTAAATCAAATAATCCTTCAGTCTATGGACCATCAAAAAATATAAAAAAATACCCATCAAGCAGCAAAGTTTCTTATCTGAGCAGCTGGAATCATTATTTTTGCTAGAAACGTTACAGAAACGATTTTTTTTTCTGTCGATCGACTAATCGATTAATCACATCGGCTCTGGCTGTTTATGATAAAAAATGATGCCTCATGTCACTTCCTGTTTGAGGGAGTCTGGAGGTTTGTTTACTCCTGCTATGACTCAGTGCAGCAGTAACTCTCCAGATGAAACCATCACTCTGTTCCATGTTCAGACGCTGCCTGGACACAGTCTGTGTTTTTCCACAGAGAAGAACTGGAACTACAGACTGTTTGATGGTGACGTTCGCAGTTTATTTGTTTGTTTTGTTTGTTTGTTTGTCAGTGGGATTAAGCAAAAAACAACTGAACCAACTGGCATCAAACTTGGTGGCGGGCTGGAGCGTGGGCTGGGAATAACCCGTTAAATTTTGGTGTCAATCTGGATTTTTTTTTTTTTTAATCACTTTCTTTAAAGGAGCTATTTGTAAGTTTTGCTATTGCTACATTGCTAACATTAGCATTAGCAGCTGTTTACTTAATACTCTAGAAGAAATGTTGCGAGTTCAGCGTCAAACTTTATTTTCTTTACTCACCAACAGCTGTCTCCCCTGTGTTTTGCTTCTATTTCTATCGCTTCTTTTCTGCTACTGACGTTAGCATGCTAACCAGCTAGCTCCGGCCCAGTCAGCCCGTCTCATCCCTTTCCGATACCGAGTCACTGTGGCGTCCAGCCTGCTTTGAAGACGTAGCTGCTCAGAGGACGTATTATAACCTCTTGTCTTGTAATCACAACAATGGCTGACGCTCTTGGCAACACTGGTCAGTAAACAGCTGTTAATGCTAACGTTAGCTATGTAGCAAGAGCAAAACTTACAAAATAGCTCCTTTAACATTGTGAGACGGGGCTTTTTTTGACTTTTATGTTGCCTATCATGTCAACTATTTATGACTTATTTATGACTTCACTGTGTTTTCTGACAAATATATATTTCCTCTTTCTTTTTCTGTGTTATTTACGACCAAGTTGGATATATTGGAGCTTTCAGCAAAAATGTTTTTCTAGTTCTCTAATAATTAAGACCTGGATGTGTGTGAGAACTGTATTAAAACGGCAGAAACTATTGTCTTAAAAATAAATAAATGAAATAAATAAAAGCCAAATCATATGCAACTCAATCAGGTGGAGTTTAAAAGTCAAATTAAACTAAAAGAAGAAAAAGCGTCGACGTCGTGTTCGGACCGTTTCCTGCTGCTGAAACCAGATGAAGATGAGGTAATTTTTTCTTTTCTGTTCTATTTTGGAGTTTTTATCCCAGCCAGACTTCTTTTGAAAAATTAGGTAACCCTGATACCAGAATATCTCAGGTACGCTTTTTGAATAAATTACCACTTGAAGATAAGATGACGTCTAGCAGCTAAATCCTGCTCTCACCTTCTTGTCGTAGACGTCCTGCCAGTCGATTGTGCCAAAGAAACTGTGTCGCATGATCTCCTTAGCGTCATCCGGTCCGCCGCCCAGTCTGTCAACCAACACAGAAGAAGAAGGAGAAGATGTTGAAGTCAGACATCAAACGCCACTCTTATAAAGTCTCCATCAATGGAACCAGAATATCCACCTGCTACTGATCCCAAAATAACCGGCTGGGGTGAGCCAGTTCGCCTCTGAAGCGGCAGTAGCCTCTTTTCACCGTGTTCTTCGTTAGAGACAGAAAACGCCTCGGGGATTATCAGAGTGGGAAATTAACAGCAGCCACCAGCCAGTCTTGTCCAACAGCACTTTCACTGAATACCAATTATCATTAAGAGGTTTTTGTTCTCCTCTTATCGTGGCTTAACGACGGCTGTTTAAACGGTGAAACGCACCGGGGTGAATTCTGGGATGTACAGGACAAATCATTTTTTTTTTTATTTCCTGTCCTGTGAATAAGGATCCGAGCAGGTTCAACAGGCCACAAAGGATGATGGATTTCCTAAATGTGTTTCGTGAACATCTCTGTGTCTTATTCGGGGTCAGGAGCTCAGATTTTTTTTAATCTGAGCCAGTGGGATTATACATCCCATCAGGCCCGGCAACAACACGGGTTTCCCCAGGATAATGGCTGCTTGGCCTGCTGCCACCCAGACCCTGGTAAATGGTGACAAGTGCATTAATGGATGTTACTGTCCTTTCATGGAAATTAAATTCTAATAAGTTGAGTAAAGTTCAGGAATCAAAACATACTGATACGTTTCCCGTCCTCTCAGATATTTCTACCACGAAGTCTGAAGTCAGTTCTTTCATCATGATTTGGGGAAAAAAGAAAAGAGATGAACCCAGATGAAGAACGACATGGACTCGAAACCATCACCCGGGCGCCGCCTCGCCAGCGCTAACTGTGACTGTGACGTGGAGTTCTGCAGCTCTGTGAAGTCCAAACAAAAACATGAACTTGTCCTCACTTCTTCTTTACAATGACGTGCCGTGTCAGCAGACCGCCGGCCTTTGTGAGAAAACCCCTCGTATGATCCTTGCGTCCGGCTCGTCAGGGCTCACGACCTCCTCCCTGCACGTGCGGCTCACGCCGGTTGATCGAGGCGCCTGCACTGTAGCTGTTGGACTGCTCACCGCCCGCTCACATGGCGAGCGGGCGGCAGGTGCGATGTTGAACCTTCATCAGCTGATAATCAAACCGCAGCAGGTTGCAGAGATGCTGCAGCAAACTTTAATTTCATCCTCTCACAACTTTAAAGTGTTGGCAGGGACGGTGAGGTGTATTTTCTTTTTGGTTTTAACCACAACAAGACGTGAAATGTGTTGATCAGCCTGTGAGTTCACAGTGCTGCTGGTGCTCCTGCTATTTTCTTTACTTGCTGCACAGAGCTGTCGATTCAGATCAGCTCACGCTCATATGAAGTGTGTGTGTGTGTGTGTGTGTGTGTGTGTGTGTGTGTGTGTGTGTGTGTGTGTGTGTGTGTGTGTGTGTGTGTGTGTGTGTGAGTGTGTGTGTGGACTCATAAACTGGCATCAACCAGCACAGTGGAGCTCGGGTCGTTGTTCTCTCAGGAAGTTTGTCTCTTTTGTTTTAAACCAAAAACAAAAATAAAAAACAGTGCTTGCTTAATTTTACTTTTATTTTGAAATATTTACTTAAAAATAGGAATATGCAAACACCAGAATTGGACAGTTTCTTGTTGTTTTTTTTAATTTGGAAAACTCGCTCTGTTCTGGTTTTTCCATCTTTGGTTTAAAGTAAAAGAACGAACAGCTTGAATGTTATTAATCAGCTCGTCACATGCGGGTGAAAAGAAGCGCGTGTCAGGGAGGAGGCCGTCGCCACGGGACAACACCTGCTTTTAAAGAAAAACGGAACGAAAAACAAGGTGTTGGTGGCGAGGACACTGTCAACGTCTCTGTGATCACGCCTCTCTCCTCTCCGTTAGCCCGGCGACAGTGTTCTCCTCCCCGCACGCCGCTCATGTGTCGTACCGTTTGTTGGGGTCCTTGATGAGGAGTCCCGACAGCAGCGACTTGGCGTCGGCCGACAGGGTTCGCGGGAACTTGATCTCCTCCATGAGGATGAGCTCAAACAGCTTCTCGTGGTCCTGGTTGTAGAACGGCAGGCGGCCGCACATCATCTCGTACGTCACCACGCCCAAACCCCACCAGTCCACCGCCCGCCCGTAGTCGTTGTCCTCCAACACCTGCGAACACACAACACAGACGCGACATGAATCTCTGCTGCACTTCCTCTGAGCGACCTGTGAAAACCCCGTTTTAACAAGCGTTGGTTCAAATGAGCGTTTTCCTTCCGATGAAGCTCTTTCTGACTTATTTGACATATTTGATTTCCTCTTTCACCTCTGTACGTTAAAATAAACTCCACTTAGGAGGAAGTGGGATTAGTTATTGACATTTTACTTTGTTGTAAAGATTTAGAAACGTCCACTTCGGCCTCGGTGGCTGCAGAACAGACGGCTCTGTTTGTAAATTGTAAACACAGCGAGTTTGAATCAAGTCCTGAAACAAAAAACATAATTTCAGTTCTTCATGTTTGTGTCTGGTGTGACCTCTGACCTCAGGAGCCAGGTACTCTGGTGTTCCACAGAACGTCTTCATCGTGGCAGTGTCGGTGATGCCTTCTTTGCAGAGGCCGAAGTCGGTGATCTTGATGTGGCCGTCTTTGTCCAACATGAGGTTCTCCAGCTGACGAGGACGACGAGAGAATAAAACAACGTGAACGTGTGTTTTCTTATAAACCCGGGCAGGTGTCTGATGTCTGACTGTCCCCAGGTGTGACAGCAGGTGAGGTTTACCTTCAGGTCACGGTAGACGATCTTGGCAGAATGTAGGTAGTCTAGAGCAGAGACGATCTCTGCACCGTAGAAACGGGTGCGGTCCTCTGAAAAAACTCTTTCTCTTGACAAGTGGAAAAACAGCTGAAAGACAAAAAACACAGGTTCATTCACCTTCATCACGTCTGGTTCCTTCATCCAGTGACGAGTCACTGCTGTTTATTCTCAGCAGAGATCAGTTATAGTCACCAGTCGAATGTGATCAATACTGTGGACGTCCGAGTGTTCGGGGGAATATTTCCTACGAACATACAGTCAACAGCGTCGCTGGGTCGAAGCCCATTTTAGAACCAGAGAGAGTCGTAATGTTTTTCTCTACAGAGACAAATAATAAAGACAAGACGCCTCACGCTGTCTCTGCTCATCAGACAGACATTGTTTTGTCTCAGGTCAACAAACCAACCAGTTCACTCTCGTCTGATAAATAACCAGCAATCAGACTGAAACAACACGTGTCACTGCGATCATCAATATCCTTCAAGCTCAGATGGCGAGGTGATCGGAACAGCAAAGAGGAGAAGAGTTTCTACGTGACGTTTGGTCTTGAAGATGATCAACACCGACAATAAAGAGATCTCAAACTTGATTAAATTAAATGATGCAGAAATCTAATTCCTACAAATGTCACTGAGCAATCAGCTGACGGACTCGCAGACGTTCACGATGGTCTGCAGAAAGAAAACATAATGCGTAAACACAAACCAGGAGATTTGTTTGTTTGTTTCTCCATATACTTGAGAGAGACTGCTAATTAAAGCTATGCATCATCAGTGGTCCAGTCCAAACGACTGCTGGTCATGTGACTAATAAACAAATATCATAAATACAAGGTTGTTTCTTTACAACAGAAGTTATAAAAAGACGCACGAGGAGATCTGTGTGTGAAGAGACACTGGATTCATGATTCACATTCATGCTTCGTGATCACTGGCTCGGTGGCAATCAGCTGACTAATAACATCCAATCATGTCCGTGCGGGTGGTCATTAAAACCTTTTCTCACTGTTGCTGCGTCGATGCTAACGCTAAAGCTGCTGCAGCTCCCTCCAGCTCATGAGCCGAGCCTCTGGCCGTCGTTGATTTAACTAAACTGATGAATTGATACCAGCAGCGCTCTTTAACCGCACCGAGAGCAGTGACTGCTTCCTGCTAACGCTCCCAGTCACACAACAGTCGTCAATAATCCTTGAAAATAACATCTATCAGCATTAAAAACAACTCGGCGACCTCTCACCTCTCCTCCGTTGACGTACTCCATTACAAAGCACAGCCGGTCCTTAGTCTGGAACGAGTACTTCAGAGACTGAAACACAATATATAAAGTCGTTGTTTTAACTCGGCAGCGCTCAGACGTTTGTTTCATTATTTTTTTTGAAGAACAGAAGCATGTGTGGTCTGAATCCTTCCAGCTGTTATCTCTGATATCAAAAGAGTCTTTGAGCCGAAGCTTCTCATTTCTAAACTCGGTGGACATTCATCCTAACACTGAACTCACACAGCAGCAGCAGCAGCAGCAGCAGCACAGGTGTGTATGTGTGCAATGTTTCCACACAGTGATACTCACAGTTAGGAATGGATGCCGAGTGTTTTTTAATACCCTACTTTCTGTGAGTGTGTGAGCAACTTCATCCTGCGAGGAAGGAGAGAAGAGGAGGAGATGAGTTAGGAAACAAAAGGAGCTTTTCGTCTTTTCCTCTGAAGGTTCAGGATGTAGCAGTCAGGGAGAGGTGCAGATGTGATGATGATGCAGCGATAATCATTTACAATATTTCATTACATGCCAAATATAAGACAGTGAAGTTAAATCTTTTCAATCCAGTGACAAAAAATCTGGCATCTGAATAAAATTAGGATTAAAAATGTTAAATTTACAAATCTTTACAAACAACAAATAAAAGCTGGCAAACATCGGAAGGACCTTGGCTATAATGACTTCCTTCTTCAAGATCTTCATGGCGTAGTAGGTGCCGCTCGCCTTCTCCCTCACCAGAATGACTTTCCCAAAAGTGCCTTTGCCCAGAAGCTTCAGATAGTCAAAGTCATTCATTGTCTGGACAAAGAAACAGAGGCAGGGAGTGAAGAAACTGGGTCTGCCACATTCAGTACACACACACACACACACACACACACACACACACACACAACACACACACACACACACACACACACACACACACACACCACACCAACGACACACACACACACACAAGACACACACAACTTCACCACACACTCCTGTTCAAAGTTAGACAGCATTCACTTTACAAGCTAAGCAGAAGATAAACTGGATCCAGATGATTTTGTTTCTATAAGTTGAGTGAAGTTAAAGCTCCTCCAGTGTAAAGGTCTGTGTCCATGTGTAGTGTGATTATAGATCAGCTCTAGCTTCTATATTAATACTGTGAAAGTATCAAAGCCTCAGTCCACAGAGAAATGCACACAGCCTGTATTCAGAAACTGAGCCTTAAAACCAGCCGTCAGGACTTCTGGAACTTTGTGATGTCACAACGAAGAAGTCACCAAGCCCCGCCCACCTGGACCCACCATCCAAACCTTTACAGGATTTGGTTTCTCTGAGTGTTTTTAACCTGAAATCTGCTTTATTTTTATTGGATCACTCAGAAAACAGTCAGCCAATCAGAGGAGAGGCTCAGAGCCTCCTCTCTTCTGAGTAACGTGCCGCCTGTCACCTTTCGTTTGTAGTGGCTGATGGAGGTGTCCATCTCCTCCTCGTTGACGTTCTCGATCTGGGAGGTGGGGCTGCACAGGATGCCCTCCTCCTCCTGCTTGGCCAGAGACTCGGCGACCATCTGGATGGCCTCCGCCCACTCGTCCCTGCAGGACACAGCAGCAGGTTAAAATACCGGCGGGAGACGTTCGTGTCTTTTCTTTAACGCGTTTCTTGCACATGTGACTTCGGCTTCAGACCAACTACGAATCATCAGAGTTCAGCTTAAAAGAGAGACTGCTAATTAAAACTGTAGTCTTCATTGTTCTGCAGTGACACGTGAGTCCTGACCAAACGACCTCTGGAGGATGTTATTAGCCTTTTTCTGTCAATAACAAACATCAGGTAACAAGTCATGATGTATACGTTATATTGTCTTTTGGTACGAAACCCTTCAAAACTTGGCGTCCAGCCTCAGCCCCACACCCCTGCTTCCTGTCTTTCTTCTCACTGTGTTGACTGACTCCTGTTGTGTCCACTGAGGAGAGTTTAACACGGTCTGCTTCAGGACGGAGAGCTGCAGATTTATTCGTTTCTATTTATTTATTTTGCCTCTAATCCACAGACATTCATTCTTTTCAGTTCTGAATTTAAGTTCATCTGTTAATTCAGTTTCAGCTCTGGTTTTCTTTTCTTTAGTTTCTTTCTTTCTTCTTTAAAAACCGCTGACCTGAAAACTAAATAATTAAACTTAAGAATAACGGGAATGATCGACGGCTGGTCGTTTTCCCTTCATCATTAGCTTAGAAAATAACAGCACTCAGTATTTCTCTGGATATTTTTAGATCTGTTTTTCAAGCCTGATTTCTCCCGCTGCTAAATTAAGCCTGTCCCAGGGTTTCTGCTGCTTCACCAAGTTCAATTTCAGACTTTTTAATCCCACACAGAAGACAAGTTCACACCTGTCTCACAGTCATTCCAAATATTAAAGTATGATGGAAAACCAGGAGGGACAATATTGGCTAGAATGAATTATTATCACATCACATTATTGTCTGGACTTCCCTGGAGTATGAAACAAACAAGACCAGGTCCGAACCTCGTACAGGACTGGACCGCTCCCTACATGTTGCCAGGTGACTTTCTACCATAATTAGCATATTCATGACATCATCACATCATATTTGAATCCTGCGCAGCTCTTTATCTCTCCTCCTCCTCCTCCTCCTCACATACACTGTTTTAAGACAGCAGCTCACAGTAGAGCCGTTCTCATTTGCGTGTGTTTCTGTTTCTGACTTGTGCACTGACTGCATTCAGATTTGGAAGTTTGAGACTCTGACTTGGAGTTTTTAATTAGTTTAATTACTGTGTTTGTGAGTGTGTTTCTTTGGCTATGGTGTCACACACAGTCAATGAACTCTGCTGTGTTTTTTTGTACGTTGGCAACAGGACAAGTGGCTCATTAAGACGACATGTTAACCAGCAGTCAAACCATTCCTACAGGACGATACCGGCGACTCTCTTCTACAGGAAGTAGCAACGGTTTGTCCAAAAAGATACCAGATGTGTTGCTAGGTGTTTTGTTTTCAAAATAAAAAAGAAGGTAATTAAAGGTCTGAAAAGTTGGTTAAGCGAGAGACAAAGGCCCCTGATGATATAATAAAAACTGTTTGTGCTAATTCAGGCGCTGCAGGTCTGATGGTTGTTCTTTGAGGCTTTTCGACGCCGTTCTGTCCAATCACATCAACAACAAACTGAAACTGCTGAGGAAGAGGAGGACGAAGGCTCACCTCTCGTCGGGCGTGTCGACATGAAAAGTCCTCTCGATGACGGTGGTCCACTGCAGGCAGCGGATGATGAAGGTGTTCGGCTTGGGCCGCTCCGTCTTCATCAGCTGACATTCTGCAGGTCACAGAGAGAGAGAGAGAGAGAGAGAGAGAGAGAGAGAGAGAGAGAGACTACAGCGTCACACAGGCGTTTGTTTTCAGCGTGTGAAGTATACGAGGACGAGGACGTGGCGTTGGCGTCTTACTTGCTACAGAGAAGTTGTTGAGCGGGTAGGCCAGGTCAGAGTCCTGCGGTTTGTCCTTGTAGCCGATGAAGGAGCCGTCTGTCTTCAGCAGGAAGTAGCGCGGTCGCCAGTTCTTGATGTACTCACCTGTGGGGAGGAGACAGGTTACATCCTGCTGCACTCACCTGTGTTTAAAGCTGTGTGTAGAGGAATGTGTGTTGTGTTGTATCAGCCTGATGTTCAGACTCCACTGTCAGTTTCAGTTCATTATTCAGTTTGAGACATGATTCAGTGTTAATGTTCCCGTCCCGCTGACGTCATGCTGAGCTAACGAGCCGTGGCTGCGGTGTTTGTGGCTGTTCTTCTGACACAGTGCGATGACGCCACGGCTCTTAATACGACCTACAAAGCTCTGATTGGCTTTGCTGTCGTCAATGAACACAACACCTACTGAAAACAACCCAGATCTGGGCAGCGGCTCAGAGGCCTTTACCCAGGCTCTGCTGGCACACACGTTTTACAATCGCTGCATCACATGTTGACACACTCGAACAAGAACAACGAGAGCTCCTCTTCCTTTCCTTCATGCGTTTTGGACAAAGGTGCATCACTAATAATGCATTTTAATCAATATGAAACAACAGTAACACAGTAGCAGGGCAGTGTTGTGTCAACCATTTGCAGGTTTTAAGTCTTTTATTTTGGTAAATTAATGCCTCTGTGAATAGTTAAAGTGTCAAGAATGAAACAAGCTCTTAAATATAATGTGCTGCAGTTGTTTCTTTTAAAGCAAACTACAGTGGTTTTCATGGTTTTCATGGTTTTCATGTCTTAATTTCACATCTATTGAAATTCAGTTGCAAACACCTTCACGATATGAAAAACAAAAATCATATTGCAATTATTTTGGCAGATTTTGCGAATTCAGTTGGACTTTTGCATTTCATTCTCTCTGAAAAAAAATAACTTTTTAAACTATGTTGTAATTTTTGTGAAGTCTTGTACCAAACACCAACATGTTCCTCTACGTCGGGAGAATATGATTTGTGTCTCGTCAGGAGAGAAAACATCAACAAAACCACACCTGCTGTAATGGACCACACTGGGTCATTTTCTGCTTTATATTATATTGTGGAATAAAATAAGTTCAGAAGTGCAGAGCAAATTTTACACTGTATAAACAAGACTTCAAATAATCCTCTTTGCTTTACATTTAATTTTCTTCTATCACAAGCTGTTTTGTTCCTTTAATTTGAAATTCATCCAAACATCTGTTTCACCTCCAGCTGCTGGTAACTGCTCTACGAAACACGGTGCGGCCATGACGTGTTCGTTCCCCCCCGACGTTCTTACTCATCAACTGATACCAAATTCTGGATACATGTCAGAGTCACATTAGCGTTAGCATCAGAGCTAACAAAAGAACAAGTTTCCCCAGAATCAAAGTGCGTCTACATCAGTGAGCAACGGCCGAGCGGCTTCAGCATCTCTCTGTCACAGATCCGATGACTCACACAGCTTCAACACAACAGAGTGAGGAAGGTGACGAAGACTTCAACACAGAGACAGAAACCACACAGACGTCAGCGACTGTTTCTGACTTCTAACAGCTCCACTTATAATCCACAGTTTGACTGGTCAGACAGGAAGAAGGTCGTTCATATAGTCACTGAATCATCTGAGCTGCAGATTCAATTGTTTTATGTTGTTTTACAATGACGCCATGACGGTCGTGTTCAATAAAACACAAATAAAGTTTATTCAAGAAGAGCAGCAACTCTTTCCTTTTGAAAACGTTTGACATTCGCTCAGATTAATCACTTTAACCAATTACCAAAACAGTAACGAGCCGCCAGGATACATTTAGGTGAGGAATGTGAAATGGCAACAGGAAAGATGGTGATTGATCAGTTGATTTATTGTCTGGAGATCAGCTTATTGATTAATTGACTGGGGGCCTGAGCCGCCAGGATGAAAACATTCGTACTCTCCAGAGGTTAACCGTTAGCGCTACATGGACGCTAGCCGCACATCAGGACGCACACGCATGAACAACACAATACACATTTCTGACATCGGCAGAGCTGATCAACAGTGTGTCCACCATCATCATCACCACCATCATCATCATCATTAGACTAAGAAGTGAGGAAGACTGCGAGCTAGCATACATGCATCTAAACAACGCACGATTGTTTCTGTAAATGTTTCATGAGGAACTGAATCTGTTTGTGTTCCGGTGAGAAACACTGAAACGTAAACGTTACTTTTCTTGGGTTTCAGCTCGACGGGACACAGAGGTGCGACCCGCAGCTCAGGTGGTGGAAGAGGTCGGCCATTAAACAGGAGGTTGGTGATGCGAGATCAACCTCCGCCCCTGAAACAATGTGTGAAAAGAAGTGGTCCCACCCCACACTTGATCTCCCATCCAATCAACAACCTCTGACTGATTTTGCTTTGTTTTAGTTTAAATTGATCCCTCACTGTGTTTCCTGTTTCCTACATCAACGGGAAATACATCACATGAAAGAAAGAAATATTCAAATTCAGTTCAGTTTCTCTGGTGACCCCCCCCCCCCCCCCTC